GCATGGTCATTTAAATTGAGTTTAAATATGAGAAACATCTCGAAACGTGACAAACAATTGGTGACATTAGTGTGTGTTATGGGAGTCCTATACCTGATGGCCCAACTCATCGCACACTACATCGGCGACCGGCCTATAGTGAAGGTAGGGTTGGCTCGACCACCGGCCCTCACCTTACGCTACCGGCTCGTAGAGCGCCCGACTCCTGTACCCAAAGGGGTGTTCACGAAAACACCAGTTCCTGTGCGCGAACAGAGGTCTCGTATCGTGATCGCACCTACACCTAAAAGTATTACTATTATAACATTACAGACCTATGTTTGGCAGCAATTCTGGTACTGATTCTCATGTCTTAATTCACAGATCCAGTCGTCCATCAGTTGTGAAGACATGTCTGTCCACCGACTCTTGTGATCAGTTCTCAAGGCCTGTATCTGCAGTGACGGCCTATTTATGAATGACATCCCATTATTTTTATGTTGAATAGTGGGAATGGGTTAACGATTTTAAATTTTATCATATATACAATATATTGATTAATATTTTATTTTTATTTTTAAGTTTTCCACGCATTTGTCACTATATTATTGATTTATAAAATACAAATCATTTGTTATTAATGAACAGTTAAATAATAAAATTTATAATAATATTATTTCACTCTGTATTTGAATATAATTTGTTAAATGAAGTACAGAATTGTTAATATTAATAATATAAGAATATTCTCAATGTTTGTATTTATGATCAAATGATAAATGATTATGATTTATGATATTCAAATATATTTGAAAAAAATCAATTAATTAATTAAATCATGAAATTTCAAAAATTAAATTAAAATTATTTAATATTTTTTATAATTTTAAAATTAACACATTTAAGAATTTAAGTGAATATTCTCTAACTTTGCTTCAATTTCTTCATATTTTGCTTTAAAATATTCCGCACTAAACTTGTAATCGTTTTGTTGAATAAGATTTAGTGTGGAATCAAATGTGGGATCAGTTTTGAGACAATTCTCATGAATAGACCATAAGTTATATTCTGATAATACTTGTGAACACTCGGGTCTTGTGCTATGAATTGCAGCACTCATTGAGTCAATGATTTGATCCAATTTAATGAATTTGTCGTATATTTTATATCCTGAGTAAATATTCAACTCAATCGGGAAACTGTAAATAATAATATTAATACATTTTAATGAATTAAGTCAATAAATTAAATATCAAAATAATTACTTAAAATTATTAAAATTAAACAATTCGTATGAAATTCTTGCTAGGCTATATATATCCGCTTTCGGTGTATATTTAGTGTGCATTTTAACTTCCGGTGCCATGTATTTAAGAGTTCCCACTCCTGTGGTATGATTTCCAGAGGCAATGAAGTGCAATGTCGCCAACCCAAAGTCAGCCACTTTTAAATATCTGCCATTCCTTACAGTCTTCGCCACTAATATATTGTCGGGTTTCAGGTCTCTTTTTGAACGCTAAATTCAACTCATTATAATTTAAATCTAAAGACGTTTTAAACAATTATGTTTTCTAAACAAATTATTTTCATNTCTTTGAATATATGACACGAAATGTAAAACTCGATTGAATTCATGGGTTCTCCCGGTTGTCGACCAAATACTTGTGGTTTGTGTTGAAGAATATTCTGCATACTATGGGAACATAACTCCATTTGAATGTAATACACTTTGTAATCACTCCATTGTTCCATATATTGGACACAATATTCTGACCTAACTTTTATCAAATTTTGAATTTCTTGCATACATTCTATGAAAATGTTATCACCTATAAATGTATTAATTGTAATACTTATTAATAATTTGAAATTTACAAATAATTTTCAAATATAGTATAATTCATTGTAATGCTACATTATTTATACTAAATATATCTAAATATCATTAAATTACTTTCAAATCTTATTTTCTTAACCGCATATTCTTGTCCATCAAATTTCTTTTTAACAACAAATACTTCCCCAAAAGCTCCCGAACCTAATGAATGCAACTCTTCGTACAAACGCTTGTNACTTCCCCAAAAGCTCCCGAACCTAATGAATGCAACTCTTCGTACAAACGCTTGTAATCATTGACTTCGGAAACAACTATAAAACAAATTAAATAAATCCATTCATTCAGTTTTGTTAATACGTCATTCAAGAGTACGTATTCAGTGGAGTGGGGGTAAGTCAGAAGCTTACTAATGAATAAATTGAATTATTTATTCATTTTGCATAAATAAAATGAAAATAATTTGTTTAGAAAACATAATTGTTTAAAACGTCTTTAGATTTAAATTATAATGAGTTGAATTTAGCGTTCAAAAAGAGACCAGTGTAAAATGTACTAGTTTTTTAAATTAATTTTTTAATTAACTTATTGTAAAGAAATTTGCATATTTATCTTTATTTGTAAAGTAATTTAAGTTATTACTCAATTGAGGTGGCGCGTTATGTTACAATTTGGGAATAACACTATACTATCGATAACACTGTGTTAATCGTTAAGTCAATGATTTACTGGCTTTACGTACTCTATGAATGACACCTAAAACCAATTCATACCATTGTTTGATAACTCGTTTATAGAAGAAAATACTTTTTCCAAATAATTCAAACATTTTGCACGAAATTCTTCGCAATTCTTATAATTATATTCCTTATAATCACATAAATCAATGGTCTTATGAGTTATTTGAGACTCAATTGTGAAACAGTCGAAGAAATTTGTATAATTTGTTGCAATTATATTATCGCTTGGTTTGGCTGTAATATTATATATTTTTCCATTCTTTATAGCAATAATGAGAAACAGGTTACTCTTCTGTGACCTAGTTATATTCATTTGTGTAAACCTCTTATTAGTATTTAATAATTTTGGAGATATTTGTAACAAATATTCGTTGTTTTCATTCATATATTGTCCGCAAAAATTAATGGATTCATTGTTTGATAAGAAGTAAGTGATAGCACCACCGGAACAGATAGTCTTAATACCAGTCATGTCTGAAATGAGTTGTGGTTTCCATATATTATCCGATGAATTGTGTCCCAAATTATAACAATCATTTAGACCCCAACTAAACACCTGTCCCTCAGATGTTATGGCAAATGAAGAGTAATAACAACAATAAATACTTTTAATTTCGTGATTAGGATTAAAATTGATTCTCAGTGGCATTGGTAACACATCCATATCTTCCAATTTTTGACCACAACCTAACTGTCCGTATATATTATTACCCCATCCATAGACACAGCCATCACCCGTGAGGATCATTGTGTGATAATAACCACAACTTATTTGACAAATTGTCTTATTATCGATGTATTTGAGATCAAGAAGTTCCGGTTTTAAGTATAAGACATCCTTCCTCATGGCCGCGATACCTACCTGTCCCACATCATTAAGACCCCAACCATAGAGACAATTATGTTGAGTGAGTGCTAACACAGTCTTCTCCATTGAAGAAATGTGTGATATTCTTGTGACACAATCTGTCGATCACTTGGATTTCATTAACGTATAGATTATATCCCAAACCAACAGAACCCCACAAATTAGATCCCAAACCGTAAACAATGTCATCATTTGTTACAAACATCACTTGTATGTATGGATCGGCTATTACTGGACTCCACTCCCGATTGTTGTGGGCTTTTGTTTGCAGTAATATTTAAACTCATTTTACACACAATTAACAAATGATTATTATATTCGTATAATTAGTAAATTAATTGTTTTATAAATTTAATTAAACATAAAACACATTACAAACAATAAGGCGTTGTGCACAAAGTACGTACGAACGCCTAGGGGGGAGGGGTGTCATGCCAAAAGCGTATGAAAGCGTATGTTATATGAGGGGAGGGGTCTGGGAAAAGCGTATGTACGCATGAAGGGGGTCTTATCTTAGATATTTTGATATTTGATAAGAAATTATTGAAAGGATTAGTGTATAAAATCTTAATTCGCATCACATGATATGAAAGTTTTAAACGTTTCAATGTGTGAATAAATGTAAAACAAGTTTTATAGGTATTATTGAATGCAATAATTATTTTGCGTTAATTTATTCCATAATTTTGTGCAAAAATGTCTTCAATTATCCCTTCATATGAAGAGTTTTTAAAAGTATTTTTACCGCACTGCCAATTTGCCAAGAAGGCCGAAAGATATATTGCGGCACAAACTCTTTGGCAACAATTGAAAAGTGATCCAAAGAAATAGCTTTTAAAATATAATGAGTATAAGAGTAAGAAAATCAAAGAAACTACTCATTTTGGAATAAGTCGATCACTAACTCCAATGCCAACACCATCGCTAACCACATCATCACCTCTGCTTCCAACTTGTCCAACACCTCAGCCGCCAACCAGACCTACACCTCAGCCGCCAATCAGACCAACACCTCAGCCGCCAACCAGATCACAGACTCAGCCGCTAACCTGTCCAACACCTCAGCCGCCAACCAGACCAACACATCAGCCGCCAACCTGTCCATCGCCTCAGCCGCTAACCACACCATCGCCTCTGCCGCCAACCAGATCACAGACTCAGCCGCCAACCTGTCCATCGCCTCTGCTGCCACCACAACCATTACCATTTCATCAGAGATATCGAGGGATAGACGGGCCCAAAAGAAGATGTGTGACCGGTTATCAGTTCTCGGTGAAATGATAGGCGGCTTAAGAAGGGCGCGTGGCATTGGTATGGCGACGGCAGGCATGAAAGATCAACTAAGAGAGCTGATCGTCGAGCGCCGAAAGACAGCTCGCATTCTAAAACGATTAGAGAATGAATGCGAGCGGCAAAGGCAGCGCCGGGCGGGCCAAAGAGAGGCCATCCAAAGATTAGCCAGAATACCCGATGGCGAGGTTTTAAAAAAATTTTGCCGCTCTAAACCCTCACGCCCACGACTTGAAGACGA